GGTCAGTCAACCAACAGTACACATGAACTTAATGCTCACCAACCTTCTCACACAATTCATGCACTTTACACATAAAAGCAAGCACAGACACAGCTGTGGTCATGGATCACAAATCACTCTCTTGTCCTGGGATTTCAGAAGAAATTACATACATAGGGTTGGTACTAAGATAAGTGTGAAACTACAGCATCAAGATCTCCAAATATAAGATAATATTAAGTAATATGTGGCTTCACCCTGAACTCTTTCCCCTTGGAAAAAGAAAGTTTCTTAGTGACTTCCTTCTAAAGAGTTTTGTAAGAAAGGAAAATTCAAGTACCATAAGATAAAACTACTTGAGTAAGGGGTATCATATCAAGTTCCCCAATTCCCAGTGAGAAATAGATATTTCTTTTCTATTCCTTCCCAAATTTTAAGAGGACAATGAAAATTTCAGATAAATCCAAATGGGATAGACTGAGCATAATGCCTGAAGAATATTTTTCTAATATAAACCGGAGGGATAGAGCACTGACAGTGCTGTGTACCCATCAGAAGTTGCACAAGATGGCTGTCTCACCAATATCAAGTCTTGTCTCCACCACTGCCACTCATAGTTCAAAGATTATGCATAATGAAATAAGGGATACAAAACTTGAGGTATCCAGGGCCAACAAGGCAGACAGATATTTTCTGGTTGCTGAAAGGACAGATTGTTTCCAGGTCTTCAAACCCTCCTCTGATGGTATGAATTACCAATGGAGAAAAGCACTAGTGTCTGGTTCTCTATAGTTATCAAGTCCTGAAGGCACAGGGACCCCATGTTCATCCCTGCCCTCTGCTCAACATCTAGTCATCACATAGGAGTCTCTGGTACATTCATTAATTTATCAACATGATCCTCAGTCCTGGTTGCATAGACCACTATGACCTGTTATACATAGCAGAGCTTTCAATCCTACACCAATATAGAAATATATGTAGGAACCTAAGTTTTTATGTGCTACAAGATGAAGAGCAACTAAAAGAGACATAAAAAGTACATACAGATAAACACAGGAAATCACATATACTAAAAGTTTTATAGAACTCTCTCATGAGTGATATTTTCTAGATGAGTGATAAGAATAAGACTCACTATTCTGAAGCCACAGAAAAATAATTTCAGTAATTTATAAACAAGATTTGGAATAATAAGAAGACCAATTACATCCTAAACTGTCTCCTGGAATTTACAAAGCTATGAAAATTCATGAAATTTAAGGTACCTAGTTCTGTCTACACTGTATGAATGTGGACGCACAATAATCATCCTCATGTTTGCTTCCAAATCCGAATCAAGTGGATCAATTAATTTTCTGCTTATGTGGACTTGACAATCCAGACAGAACTAGAAACAATATTCATGAGACTACATTTCCATTTACTCTAAAAGCATAAAGTAAGCCTGAGTCACCTGAGGAAAAAGCTGAATCCCTGCTGAGTGCTAACTTTTATCCCCTCAGGAACCTCCCCCAATGCAAAGCAGCCCTAAGCTCAGGCTGAAAGCCCAGACCTAGCTGAGAAGCCCCATCCTCTTCTCATTAGAGCCTCCATCAGAGCATGGCTGTCCTGGTGCTGCTCCTCTGCCTGGTCACCTTTCCAAGCTGTAAGTGTTTCAGAGTTTCAGGAGAAGGACTCAATAATGACATCTGTGGAATGTATGATTGATGGTGATGTTGCTTTCCATAGGTGTCCTGTCCCAGGTGCAGCTGAAAGAGTCAGGTCCTGACCTGGTGCAGCCCTCACAGACCTTGTCCCTCACCTGCACTGTCTCTGGATTCTCATTAACTAGCTATCATGTACACTGGGTTCGCCAGCCCCCAGGAAAGGGTCTGGAGTGGATAGGATTAATAAGGAATACTGGGAGCACAGAATATAATTCAGCTCTCAACTCCAGACTGACCATCACCAGGGACACCTCCAAGAGCCAAGTTTTCTTAAAAATGAACAATATGCAAACTGAAGACACAGCCACCTACTACTGTGCCAGATACACAGTGAAGGAAGTCTAGTAGGAACCTGAACAAAATCCTCCCTACAGGGATCCTCAGGACCAGCAGGGGGCAGTGACAACCAACAAAAACTTCCCAGGCTCACTTCAGAATCTAAGAAATTCTGGTCTATGCTATATGAGCATGCTTTTTAATGTTAAAGATGTGGACTCTTCTTCCAGACATGGAAATTTGCTACAGCCTTCTATACAGTCTCAGATTCTATTAGAGTTATTGTTTATTCACACACCAGTATAATACTTAAGTGGTTCTATAATCTAATAGTGTAAAATAAGAACAAAACAGAGTTGATGTTTATCAAGATAACTCAGTGAAGCACTGTGTAGGTGAGGACAGACGGGGAGATTTGATAATGGATTTTTTTTCTCACATTGCAGCAGTTTTGTAACATTTCAACTGTTTATTGTACTTAATTGATCTTTGAGATTAATTGGACTCACCTTCCCTAACATGAAGTTTTTAAACACATGTCCACAGACTAATGAGGCCACAGGTATCATTCTGAGGGCTAACTCATAAGATTAGCTCTCCATATATTAAGAACACACTATGCTCTTATTAAATGTAACCAACATCCATACACATTATTATTGAAATAACATGAACATTAGTAATCTTGTGTCAGGAGGTAGTCAAAGGAAGAGTCCTTCTGTAACATAGGTATATTAAGTAGATTCAAATGTTAATATTTCAAAATCTCATTCCTCATTTTGATTAGTAAATATTTTACTTGAATCTATACTATTCATTATTATAGGAAAGACACTGTGTCTCAAGGAGATCCATCTCCAGGATTGCCTAAGTTTGTGTTTTCTTTATAGTTTCTATTCCCATTTTCAGTTCTTGGCAGTTTCACTCATTTCTTTCACCTATTCAAATGTATTTACCTGCATTGCTTTATGTGATATTTTCATTTCCTCTCTCAAAAGACTTTCTCATATTTATGAAAAGGGGTTTAAGGTTACCTTTTTGTTCTCTGGCTGTGTTAGAATAACCAGGGCTTGCTATAGCAGGATTGATCGGCTCTAGTTGTGCTATATTTTCCTGGCTCTTGTTAACTGTGTTCTTACACTGTTATTTATACATCTGGTTTTCTGTGGTGATGGATGGAAGATCTTGATGACACCACTACACCCCAGGAAGTCAGGGAGAGCCATGGGATAGACAATGGAGTTCAGGGAGGCAGCACACAGCTTACCTATGCTGGCTGTGTCCCAGAATAGATCTGAATGTCAAGGAATTTGTGGAAGAGGATTTCAAGCTGGTTGTTCCTGTGAACACCCCCTTAAGGCCTCCACAGGGATACAGGAATCCTTCCAGCTCCTCAAGATGGCATGGAATATACAGAGTCAGGCAGTGGAGATGAGGGGACCACGAATGCAAATTATTCTGCTACTGTGACCCAGGCAGATCAAACTGGATAAAAATTGATGAAGCAGGATTCCAATATGGTTGTTCTTTGGGGCCCACCACAGAGTTCCATGGGGAAGCAGGGCATCCTTGATGTCCTACAAGTCTCTAAAATATAACTTTCATATAAATATAATTTATAATTAACATAAAATTTATATAATTGTTGTCTCATAGGGTTACTACTGGATAAGCTCACAACTGCTGGTTCTTTAAGAACTCAGGCTAGATGACTCAGATCAGCTGCTGGGGCTGAAAAGACTCTAAGCTGACTGATTCAATATGGCTTTTCTCAGCTTCTCACTGAATTGATCTGCTGGGCCTCATGATAACTGTTCTCATTTTCTGGCTCATTCTTATTCTCTGGCTTAAATGGCCTATGCTGAATTTCACTGGACTACATGAACTCATGAACCAAATTAACCCCACTGCATTATACTCAGTGTTCTCTCTCTCTCTCTCTCTCTCTCTCTCTCTCTCTCTCTCTCTCTCTCTCTCTCTTTCTCCTTGCACTGTACTTGAATGAGTATTCTTTCTATCTCTTCTTTCAGAGTTCAGCATACCCTATCTCTGACATATTCTATTAAGTTTTTCTGTGAGTAACTGCCTGCTAAGGAGAAGTAATTTTCAAAAATGGCTGCTTTCTTCTAGAAGCTAACATTACCTAACATCGTTTTGGACTAAAGGTGTGTACCAAGGTCACGTCTATATCCCAGCCAGATCACACAGACGTAAGTCTTTTGGCGTGAATTGCTAAAAGAGCAGCCAAGATGCTGGATTAAATTTTCTCTACAGTCTTAGTTTGCTATCCACTGCTAGTCACTAAGTAATAATTATATAGGTTTTGTGCACATTATTAAATAACAATTACTTCCATATTTTCATATAATAAAACAGTGCAAATAATATTTATTTATCCTACTGCTATGTACGGCTGTCAATTTATGTGTGGATGACATGACAATCAGTTACATTACAAGACTATTTACTATGTGTGGTTTTGAATCTTTATTTTCAAATCACCTGGTGAAGGAGATGCCACCAATCCTATTCAGAAGGAAATACTGACATAGAGAAATCCAAAACTAACTAACTAAATAAGTAAATAAATAATTAAATAAAAAGAAAGATACAGAAAAAATTTGGTTAAAAAGATTAACCAATTCCATCATAAATCCTCAAATGTAATTGACAATGACTTATAATTGCTTTTAAGTTACAGTATCCTGTTCTACTTGCACAGTATGAAAAAGAATTCACTTATTGTAAACAAACTTCTCCCCTTTTTTGCTTCCAATGCCTGCAAAATATGACTAAAGCTTTCTTTTGTTTATTTGAAATTGGATATTCAACAGTTCCAGGGAAAACTTCCTGAGATTTCAACTTCCATTTCCTCAAACAAGCAGCAGAAAAATGAGAGGAAACTGGAATTCTTGCCCTGTGTTTCCTTTTATCTTCTCAGAATCCTCCCCCAATGCAAAGCAGCCCTCAGGCTCAGGATGAAAGCCCTGGCCTAGCTGAGAAGCCTCATCTATTTCTCACTATAGCCTCCATCAGAGCATGGCTGTCCTGGTGCTGCTCCTCTGCCTGCTCACATTTCCAAGCTGTAAGTGTTTCAGAGTTTCAGGAGAAGGACTCAAGAATGACATCTGTGGAATGTATGACTGATGGTGATGTGCCTTTTTCACAGGTGTCCTGTCCCAGATGCAGATGAAGGAGTCAGGACCTGACCTGGTGCAGCCCTCACAGAAATTGTCCCTCACCTGCACAGTCTCTGGGTTCTCATTAACTGACTGTAGTGTACAGTGGGTTCGCCAGCCCCCAGGAAAGGCTTTGGAGTGGATGGGTGCTATATGGAGTGATGGAAGTACAGATTATAGTTCAGCTCTCAAAACCAGATTAAGCATCACCAGGGACACCCCAAAGAGCCAGGTTTTCTTAAAAATGAACAATATGCAAACTGAAGACACAGCCACCTACGACTATGGCAAAAACACAGTGAAGGAAGTCTAGTATTAACTTGCACAAAAACCTCCCTAAAGGGATCCTCAGGACCAGCAGAGGGCAGTGAAAACCAAGAACTTCCCAGGCTCACTTCAGAATCTAAGAAATTCTGGCCTATGCTCTATGAGCATGCTTTTTATTTTATTTTATTTTATTTTATTTTATTTTATTTTATTTTATTTCATTTTCTATTATAAAAGAGTAAATCAAGTCCAATAAAGATCTTTGCGATTTTTCGAGTTCTCTTCAGACAGTGAAACGAGGGATTTCTTCAGATTAGTTATGTCAATCTCTAGCTGTTTGATGTTCTTGTCAATGGCCCTTCAAAGGTCTGAGTAGTATAAGTTCGGAGGCCAGCATCTGGATTAGAACTTCTAACAGCTGACATCATGGGTGATTCATTTTTACCTGGAAAGGGAAAAGAAGGGAATTCTTGGGGAGATTTCTCTTCCCTGGATGTAAATTGTTATTCATTGTATTTATAGTTGGGCCTGGCTTTGTGGGGGTATCTATTTATTTCATTAATCTTTTTGGTAGCCAATTAGCTGTGTCTTCTGTGGTATCAAACAGGCTTATCAATCCTCAGCTCTATAAGGGAAATGGGTCTGGGCCATTCCCTTTAAGGGTAAGAGGGTCCTTCCCCATATCTGTGGCATAGTTTTTATTGGTCTCGGTGATGCCAGAGGCAGTCAGAAGAAGATTTACCATGATCTTTCAGTTTTAGAGACTTAAAAGTGGACAAGGCATGATGGAGAGTATTTCAGAGGGACTCCTTCTGGGGGGGTACTGTTCCCCCTCTTTTGTTTTTAAAGCCAGTTTTTCAGGGTTCTTGTAAAATCAGGACAGAAGCACCAACAGTAGCTCCTTCCACACTAAGAGAGTCATGCAGACATTATTTAAAGAAATATAAATCTATATTAATAATCTCTTTTATCAAAGGACTATTATAGCACAGCTGACAACTAAACAGACTATATAATATATCGATTAATAATAGCTTCTTCTACTTTTTGTGAGATCACTTATCTTTTGTTAATTAATTGTTGGGAGAAATTAGGATTTACATCTCTCTTGAGAATATTAAACAGAGACTTAAATTCTTTTGTGGAGAGCTTAAAATAAGATCTTAGCCAGTTAGCATCTCCTAGAAACTTTTGAAAATAATTTGAATTAAGTAAAGTGTCTTTTTTCAGCCCCTTTATCTGTTTTTTTTTTTATTGGATATTTTACGTATTTACCTTTCAATGTCATCTCCTCTCCCATTCTCGCCCCAAATCCCTTATCCCATACCCGCTCCTCCTATTTTTATGAGGGTGTTGAGCATGCTTTTTAATGTTAAAGATGTGAACTCTTTTTCCAGCCATGGAAATTTGCTACAGCCTTCTCTGCAATCTCAGATTCTATTACATTTATTGTTTGTTCACACACTAGTAGAATATTTAAGTGATTCTATAACCTAATAGTGTAAAATAAAAACAAGCTAGAGTTGATATTTATCAAGATAACTCAGTGAGGCACTATGTAGGTGAGGACAGCCAGGGAGACATGATGATGGATTTTTTTCTATCACAGCTGCATTTTGTAACATTTCTGCAGTTTATTGTACTTAATTCATCTTTGAGATCACTTGTACTCATCTTCCCTAACCTGAAGTTTTTAAACGCATGTCCACGATTTAATGAGAACACAGTTATCTTTCTGAGGGCTAATGCATAAGATAAGCTCTCTGTATGTAAAGAACATAATATGCTATTATTAAATGTGGAAAAGAGCCATTCATATTATTATTGAAATAATGTAAACATTGCTGATATTCTGCTACCACACAGTGAAAGGAAGATTTCTTCTGTAACATAGGTATACTAAGTGGATTAAAATGTTAATATTTGAAGATGTCATTCCTCATTTTCATTAATAAATATTTTACTTGGATCAACACTATTTACTATTATGGGTAAGGGCATTGATTCTCAAGGAGGTCGGTCTTATTTCTCTTCTCAACAACTTATTTCCATCACTTGTCTGAGATATGGGTTCACAGGATAACACAGGGATCAGAAAACACAGAATGGAGACATGGTGTCCTCATTGATGGACATCTTTCTGCCCTTCATTTCTAATTAGTGTCATTAATCTTGGCCAATGTATTTAGGCAGAATAAGTTAAATAAGCAAACCTCTCTTTTCTCCACAAAATGGAAATTAAATTCAAAATTCTATGTTGCCTATAACCAATGGTGTCATAGTCATTTACTAAAAAAGAAAAGAAGAAAAATAAATGTTAAAAAATGGAGAGAAAGGGAGGAGTCTTTGTTCTTGTAATGGGACCATGGTCCTCAAATATTTGAAAACACTTTGGGGTAAGTGCAACATATTTCACCTATAAGACCATGTGACCCAAGTATCTATGTTCTGTAAAGTAGTCAATGAAACTGACAATTTAATTTAAAATCAGAAATGATGATTCCATTTCCTGATGCCACTTGTCTACTGTCTCGCCGTGATAAATTCTCTGTGGAAGCCTATACTCTGAACTCTTCTAAGAACACCCTCAGTAGATTATGCTTTTAGCAATCAAATACCTATGTCCTTCCCTTATGTGTTGTCAGCCTGGATTGTCCATGTGAATAGTGGAAAAATCCTAATACAAGGTAATATTTTTGAAAAAACTAAGGAGGTAAACTGGATGTCTTGCAGGATCTAAGTCAATTTGACATAAGCTAGAGTCATCAGAGGGAGGAATGCCTTCATAAGACCAGGCTGTAGACAAGCCAGTGATTTAGTTTTTAAATAGTAATTGAGATGATAAGTCTTACTCCATTATGTGTATGGCAACTGCTGTGCAGGTTGTTCTAGATTCAATAAGAAAAGATGAAGAAGCAATGCAGATGAAAAGCTTCCTATTCCCATGTGCTTATACAAGTTTCCAACAAAAAGCATGCTACAAATTAGATCTGGATTAAAATGTAGATTAAATGTATATCATCATACTTCAGAGATGCAAGTTAGAAGTTTATCTTCCTACTTAAAAAAGCAGAAATCGCTAACAGATGTGCTCTCCATTTTTGTTTGTAGTCACATTGACAACAAAAATAGCCATCACAGTGGGTATATAATAATATTCAATATATATATATATATCGATAAGTTTCCAAGTGAGTAAATAATCATTAAACACTATATATACTGTCAGATAATAAAACATACATTGCTTCCCAAAACCAGTGTAAACACTCCATCATCTGATTATTTTAGCTATTTTAGGGAATATGAACAAATAATACCCATGTCTTCTCAATGAGTTCACCCATTGATCATGTGATGTTGACTATTTTACTTAAAACAAAGGTTGACTCAACATTTTCTGATGGAAGCAGAATTTCAGGTCTCACTGTTTCCACAAACATGGATTGTTTTCCTCCAGGTTCTCTCTTTTAGCCTGCCAGTTTCTTCAAGAGTGGAAAATCTCTATTTTACAGCAACATTTTATTTCCTACTGTCTTAAAACTCAACTCATATTTTGTGTTTTAATTAAATTAAGTTTCCAAAGATATAACAAAGGTAAATATCATACTTTGTCCCACTGTCCATCTACCATGGACCATCCAAGTGTCTCACAGGCTATGGAGAATTAGGGAACAGCTTTACAATTACTCAGTACCCCTCACCAATAGGGAATCCAAAAAATTTTTACTTATTGACTATCTAAGATTGTTTATTTCTTATGCTTCTAATATTTCATCAGGATTAGCCAAATTCCAACTACAAACTATCAGGCGCTTTCCACTCGTCCAACAAAGTAAGGAGAATAGTATAATAGCCTTGCATACTTAACTCCCAGAGAATCTCCCATAGATATAATCCAAAGCATCAACTGCCACCGACTCAGTATTGCATGGGTCTTCCCACAGATCTCATTACAATCACTTTTTACTATTATACTTTCTGCATGGCAGGGATCTTCCAGTTACCCTATCTGGACAAAAGGTCCAAATAGTGACTTTGAACTACATCCTCTCCTCTGTCCACGTGGGAATTTGCAAATTCAGCCATCAGGACATATATTTCCAGGCACTACTTCTTCTCCTTCATATCTATTTCAAATGCTAGCTACCTGACAGATAAGTCCCACCTGCCCTCATGTGGCTAGGAGCCTCATGGAGTGACCTCACTAATCCTTTTGTTTCCTTGGCAACTCCACCTAACCCTGAGCAATGTAGAGTTCCTCACATACACTGTGCCTCTTCTACCAAACCATTTCTCTCTCTAGGTCTCTCTCTCTCTCTTTCTGTCTCTCTCTGTCTCTCTCTCTCTCTCTCTCAGCAAGTATGTGCTTCTGGCATGCATGTTATGTTATTAGCACACTGCAGTGCAACTTGAAAACAAGTGTGGTAAGAAAGACCCCAGCAGTATTCATTTTAAAGTTAGTTATGTTACCTGCCCATTTATATCACATATCGCAGGGTCTCCTGTAAATGTCCTCACTTCTTACCAGGCCAAGTTACCTGATATAGCCAATGAGGAACAAATCTGTGAGGTAAATTCTTAAGCAGCCACTATACTGAAGTTGTTTATCAGGTGTAGTGGTTCTCTGGTAGAATTTGGGCACCACTTATGTTTACTATCATATTATCCACAGTGGTATCTTAATTTATTTTTTTTCCAATTTGTATCTCTATGATCTACTTTTCTTGTCTCCTCCAGTTGATGGGAACCTTCATGAACAAGCTACACATCTGTCTGATATATGCAGAGGAATTAGGTACAGGCCATGTATGCTCTTCAATTGTTGGCCCTCTAGGATCTCCTAAGCATCCAGGAAAGTTGACTACATAGGTTCTTATGGTTCTGTCTTTATTTTGTTTGATTGTTTGTCTGTTTTTGGAGTCCATGTCCTCTATGAGTCTCTCAATCCTTCCTCAACCTCTTATATAACTCTCACCGAGCTCAGTTTAATACTTGTCTGTTAGTCTCTGCATCAGTTTTAGTCAGCTGCACTGTGGAGCCTAT